TTTAATACATATTTATTATAAATTAAACTTATATTATTTACTCCACGGCTATCGTGTCTGCGTTTTTTGTTGTGTTATCCTCTGCAGACGCAAATGCCGCAAGTTGCATTCAATTTGTATGTTGTTTTTGTGTGTCATTACTTTTTAGTCCAATTCTCTCTTCTTTCTTAACTTTAACTCTTAACGACGCTAATGGCCGCAAACTGTGGAGTTTGTTTATGTTCCAATTTGCGCGAACAGAAGAACACCTAGTCATCCACAAGCGTAAAGCGTAACTTGCATGTTGTTTATTTTTGGCTTGGCGGCGTCCATTCCAGCGACTGTTGCAGGCCTCGACGAAATCCACCCAACCAGCCTTCTGCACACGCCACTCACATACCTTCACCCCTCTCTCCTCGGGGTCGTCCCCCCCCCCCCCCCACACACATACACAAGTAGACACAGACGGATTTTGCAAGTGTCAGGTCAGTGACCTTCCCTGTTCTTTATTTATTTATTTCGTTTAATTCCAGACGCCACGTCACGCAGGCTGCTGTGTAGCAATACTCATTATACTCCACACACATACGCTTTGTTTCACTTAGGTGCTACAGACGCCTGCAACGCAAGAGCTCTACGATCTGTATTTGCGGGTATCTGTGCATTAATTAGTTGTTAATTTAGCTGAATTGTACCGATGCATTTGTGCTGTGTTAGAAATGCTTACAAAGTCTGCCTCGTCGCTGGTTTGTAAGTTTCCCTACGAATCACTGCATCACACAGATATAGCTGATAAGTCAAATTCACTAATTAAAGTTTATTGATTTAGCAGATCGCGCCTATGTCATGACAAACTCCACAGTTTATGTTGCCTTCTTTCACTTCCGTCTTATTCCCCTCTGTTTCGTTCTTTTCTCGTCATTTGCTATTGTTATCGTCCTCTCTACAGTTAATAGTTGCCCATCACAATCATCACCATCGGATTACAGATTTTTTTGATATATTTACAATAGAACTCGGCGGCCGCTTATCTGGATGTGTGTGCGTGTCTGCCTGTTTGTCTGTTTGTAGTACGCATCAGTTCTTCGTTTTCTGCCTCTTTCTCTTTCGCTGTTTGTGTGGTAGACCACAGGTCAATCAGATGATATGGCATATAACACATATTATGCAGGTTGTTTTGTTAATAGCCGGATCAAGTCGTTCTTCGTGTCGTTTGTCGGTCCTTCGATTTTCTATATTCTTCTAAGACAGTCTAACATACCTTAGTAAATCTCATGAAGGGAGAACTTAAGGAAACCACTACTCGTCGTGTAACAGACACACGGTAGATACGTTTTTCTTTTTGGGAACATAACGTCGCCAGCTGGTCGACTGCACAAATCCGACGAGTTGTCCATCGCCATACATTGCTTCATAGAATTTATCCTCAGCTTGCTATGTTTTATTAGTGGTTCAAGCTTCATTATCAACATGCTCTACACTGTACGTGTGCTGAAATAAAGACACTATTGTTTCAATGATCTTTTTTCTGTCAGGGTTTAGCAGCCTCAGTTCTCTTTCAAAAATGGCTTACTGAAACTCAGTGGAAAAATATTATTACATATATATATATATACCTCGTTGTAAGCCGAGGCGCGGTTTTCGTGCTGTTTTACTTTGTGTTATTTGTTGTCTATCGATTTCTGTTATCTTTCTTTGTTGATTTATTATATGTGATGCGAGCGTTGTCGGTAGATGTCGGTCGCTACGTGTCCATCTCTGTGCCGATGATTGTATGTACTTACACATGTAGGTGGGTCTGTATCATTGTTAGACACTCTCTTCCATTGCGATTTCGTTTCTTGTCTCCTTGTGCTTCCTTTGTTATCCTTTTCATATTCTCTATTATTGTTGGTGTGGGTTCGATTTTTATTTTTGTACAGGTTCTGCTATACAGGGAGGGTTATCATTGGCAGGAAGGCAACAAGTGTATTAGGAAAATCTGGCTCCAAACCAACATACCCACCAAACGTATGCAGCAACAAGATGAAGAATGACCTCAAATTTGCCTTTCCTGCCGTTGTAGCCCAACTGGCGCGGAAGCCTCGGGGCTCGCACGCAACGAGACTGAATCAGCTTTGTTGGAAAACAGAGGGTGAGTGAAATGCGTTTATTCGGAGGAGTTGTCCCTCTCTCCCCCGCGCTCTTCAGAAGCAGAAGCAAGACTGAAAGGGGCGGCTATAACATTAGAACCGCTACCGAACCTTGGAGATTCCTTCCTCTCTGATTCTTGGTAATTTTTTTACGAAGGTCTACCGCAGAGACCACTTTCCTTAAGGCACAAGATGTTTTGTGGCCGCTTCAAGTGAATTCAGTGATATGGCGGTAAACGCTCAGCACCTTGAGAAAGAGAGACTGAAAAAACCGCTTACTGACTGTTTTCTTGTTTTTTCCATTACAGGCTGAGCGGATCGTTGGCATGAGGGGAATACATGACAGTGAAAGCGTATGACACGCACGTTTGGGACATTTACAGAATTCGAAGAACAGCAGTGTGGGCGAAGGCGTAAGGCGGAGGGACAGAACACATCGTTATGTACAAGAGAGCCGAGCAACATCTGCTTAATTCATCGGGCAGTATGAGACGTTTCTTGTTGTTTTTATTGCTTCTTTATATATATATATATATATATATATATAAAGAGAGCAGGAGGCTAGGAACATGATATAGGGCGAGAGAGGGAGAAAGAAAACGTATGCGATAGTCTATTGGTGGGCACCTCACAGGTTTTGAGTCACAACGACCACTAGTGGGTCACAACTGGGGCAGCACTAAAACACGGACAGGGGCGGGAATAGCGCACGGACCTAGGCGTTATGAAGAAGATCAAGACGTTGCTCTGCCCTTTGTGAGTAGTAACAAATATATTATACGGATACTTTATGTACAGGTATTGTACAAGAGACACCCTATATTCTGTTTTATTTTGGAAACTCATTGGAGTTTATTAATTCCTTTTAGAGGGAAAAAGACTTCATTTTGGGTTGTCACGGTCAGAGTTCTCCTACTTCGTTGTTTCCTAACTCATACTTCAGTTCCCTCATAACATATCGTTTCTTCCGCATAACCTTCGTCTGGTGAGTATCGAGTGTCTCCGTGCGGCGACACTAAGGCGCCCATTGGTGCCCTAGGTGGCACCGCCGGCGCAGGACCCCAGCTACCATTATTTGCACCTGTCGCTTGTTGTTGTTGTTGTTGTTGTTGTTGTTGTTGTTGTTGTTGTTGTTGTTGTTGTTGTTGTTGTTGCTGTTGTTGTTGTTGTTGTTGTTGTTGGTGTTGGTGTTGTTGGTGTTGTTGTTGCTGCTGCTGCTGCTGCTGTTGCTGTTGTTGTTGTTGTTGTTGTTGTTGAGTATGATGATGAGCTGCCATTATGGGTGCCAACGGCGCTTGAGGTAAGCCGACTACTTGCGCAGACGGTTCGACGGATCCCGACGTTCCCTGCACCCATCCTTGAGAAGAATGGCCGTAGTAAACGGCGTCGGAGTGTTGTTGGTTGTCAGTGGCGGCGGCAATGACGTTCCAGTGAGGTGCGGGGGCTGGTATGGGTTGGCTAGGTTGTACAGGGGGGAGGGGCTCTGGGGAGTAGACTCGGCTAAGACCGGGCTCACCCGGTATTGGACCTAGCGCATAGTCATCCTGCTGGTACGTGGTGTTCAGTGTGCTCATCATCGGCGAGTGCCTGTACGCTGGGTCTGCCGGGTTCACGTATCCGTTGCCGACTGGTCCGTTGTACAAGTGAAGCTCTTTGTCAAATCCGCTAATCTTGTTAACGAGGTCCGGAGTTTGATCAGAACCGTATCCTGACGAACCATTTTCGGTCCGTCTGTCAGTACCGTCTAACTCCGATTTAGGACTGCTGGCGACAACGGGAATTACTTCGGGTTGTCCCTTAACAGTCTTAACAACAGCGAGCTGCTTGAGGAAGCCCTGATTTGGGGGCACTTTTGTGTCGGCGTTAGCGCGGTGCCGTTGGCGCATCACGAATAGGCAAAGACCGAGCGCAATAAGGATCGCCAACAAGACGAAAAAAGCGATTACGCCAATCGTGCCCGTCTTGCCGAGATGCGCGGGATTTAGCAGCTGTTTAGTCACGTACAGTGTGAAATTAGCCGCTGTCGTACCAGCCTTGTTTTCTGACACGCACACATAGATGCCCGAATCGTCGACCTGGACACGATCGATGTGCAGTGAACTGACGTGTACACCCTGCTGACCCTGTTCCTGTTCCGTCGTGTGGAAACGATCGGGATCCATGTAAGTCTCGTTGCCGAAATCGGCTGGTTCCCAGCGGATGATCGTCATCGGTTGCGAGCGGACGCCGCATATGAGGGTCACGTTGGTTCCTTCCTCAACGTGGACAAATGGCATGTTAAGTGGAAGGGCGATCTCTGGTGCGCATGCAAAATCTTCGACATCCAGCTCGGTCCATGGAACTTCGCGTATACGATCGGGGGAGGCGCACGACGGAGCATACAAATTGCCGATGCTTCGTAGAATCATCCATTTGCGAAGAGGCGCCAATTGACAGTCGCAGTGCCAAGGATTGCCGGTCAACGTAAGTTCAGATAAACGTGGCAGCGTTGAGACCGTCTCAGCACTCAACATTGTCAAGCGGTTATTGTCAAGGTAAAGAGAGCCGAGCTCCTCCAAGCCAGCGAACGCGGCCACATCGATATGCTGCAGCTGACACCCGGCAAGTGAGAGGTGTTGTAGGTGCTGAAGACCCTGGAAGGAACTGTTTGTCAGCTGTGAGATCGGGTTGTTGTTCAGGTGCAGTTTACGGAGGTGGCTAGCAGCCTTCAGCGCCTTGGTAGGCACTTCAGTAAGCAGATTGTCTGATAAATACAGCTCAACCAAATTGGTCAGTTGGTGAAACGAGTCCTCGGCAATACGTCCCAGTCGGCAGTGTTGCAAGTAGATCTTCTGCAGATTCGTGAGACCGCGTTCCTGGAAGATGCGTGTTGGAAGCGTTTGGAAGTTATTTCGATCCAAGTTGATCACCTGGATATCCGATGGCAGTCCGCTCGGAACAGTGAACATATTCTTGTCCGGACAGTTAGCTCCAAACTTGCCCTGCCTCCATTTGCAATCACAGTTGCTGTGGCAGGTCAGTGCTCCAGCTATCAAGTTTAGTGCCACGACAGGGAGGAGTAGCATTCGGAGAGCCATAATGTTACGGAAATGGCCGTGGTGGTTGCACTCAATTCGAATGCTGGAGGACTCGCATGAAATAATTGTTGCAAGTGCCTGAAAACAGATAATTTTCAACACTAAGTTAGACATACGTGCTTCAGGGGCGCACTTAAATCGGGTCGTGATTTAGTACACGTATTCAAGCGTTTGGTTGTGTTTATTGTATACGAATATGGATGTGCAAGAAGACTTAACAGCTGTTCAATGTGTTCTGCATGAACGATGGATGTGAAATGGATGCTAAATCCAATCTGTTAACTGTTTTTATTCACTCATCATCTGTTACTGTTAAAACAGCTTACCTGTTGAACTTCATGTACTAAGCTCTAGCTACTGTTTGTTTTTTTTCTTTTTTGATCGTGATTTGATATAACACGATTATTGTAAATAAAGAAGAACCTTATCAGGAGAAAAGCGGCTGTACGACGATGATGCTGTTAGCTGCTGGTAGTTAAGTGTTGTTGAGTGAAGAGCGGGATATTGTGGGTTGTGGTAAGCATTGATACTTCACACGCAAGTGTCCACCCTGTTAACGCCTTGTGTTTGCTGCGGCTCCAGTCTACCCTTACGGTATGATCCTGGTTCATATACCATAGTGTTAACTGACAAGGTATCGTAAAGCCTCATTACAGGCTAGCACCATTCACCCCTCAAATGTATGTGTGCGAAGAGCAGATATGTTAGCCAACTACGGGTGCCGCTTCAGCTGTGTTGGTCAATGCCTATCTCGATTGAGATGACTTGACATAATGTCCACATGGACAGGAATACCATGGACGATGAACTCTCCTAACTTAACTCGTCAGTGCCTAGCTATAGTTAGAGTTGCCAGACGACGACGACGACGACAAGAACACTATAGAACCGAAACCATTTCATTCGCCCTTTTTTCTTTGTTTTATTTTTGAGTCATTGAAGCGGAAGGGGTGTCTACTCAATGATACAGGCGAAATGAACGATAGCACTAACGGCGGTAGCCACAACGCGCCCTGGAAAATTACTTCGGAGCGGCTTATGCTATAAAAACGCCAGACTGGAGCAGGCGGTGGACAATCCAAAAGTTCCTTTTCTGTGTCTATGTGTACCTTGACAGAATTTCTTTTGACTCCCACTGTCGCTTCCGGCCAAGACTAGCTCATCTTCCCCCTTGTGGTCTTCCGTTAATTTGTCTTCCCTTACCTCGACTTCTCCTTCATTCAACCTTCTGATTGATAGAAAGAGAAAGCCAGACGGTGATCAGTTTTCTAGGTCTTGCCTCGTGCAGTCCAGAAAGCCGAGTAGAGGGTTGAAAGAATCGAAGAAGATCCCTAACCGACCTGTTTCACCCCCTGCTGAGTCCGAGATGTTTTGTGCCACTATGATGTTCTTTCGGCTTTCCTCTTCCCACGGTTAGCCGGAGTTGTGCAGGGGCAGCGGGGAATTTGGAAGCCACCGGTGCCGACGTTAGTTAAGTGTTCTTCTGTGTAAAACTTTAATAATGGCTTAAAGCATTCTACGTGTTTCCTGCATTGAGAGTATCAACCAGCGGAAAATCAATACGTTCAGTCGAAACGAAAAAGTGAAATGTGGTTGTTGAATTAAATCAGCACCCAATAATAACCCAAAGCTAGTATTAATACGTAGTAAACTGGGAGTAAGTGGTGTATTTTCCAAGCTTCACTTTACATTTTATAGTTTTATCCTCCTAAGCACAAAGGCGAACAAGTGGTTCTATTCTAAGTTATGGTTCGAATAGTCACTCACTTGCTAGTGAAGTGTCGTTTCGCTTTTGCGGTTCAATGATTATCTTCTCCGTGAGAATCCCGAGTCCACCGAAAGAAGGCGCAGTGAGGAGTGAGAAGGAGAAGAAGAACATCTAGTCAACGGTCCACCCTATCTTTCCTTGCCCCCTTTGAGGCGCATGATCCTTCCTTTTCTGCCTTCACCATTGTTACCGGCGTCGATCACTAGCCAGCATCGGCTACATCAGATGCCGTCAAGCGGAAGGTGATTGTTGAACCAAGCCTGCACCTCTTTGGAGTCGTTTATACACGGTACAAACACAGACACCGACGGGGTGTGAACGTAGTTCAACGATGTCCGCGACCATTCGCGTTTGATATAGGCTTATCGCTCCTTTAAACTTATGATCAACGTAGTTTAAGCATAGGCGCATAGTACTATAGTATCGCCCTACCCCTATACGGTTGCAATGTCACTGTCGTCGCAACTGTCTGTTGAATAAACCCCTCAATGATCTTATCCGCTCCTCTTACCCTTTCCGCGTTGCCTCAGGCGTTCCAGACGGCTCCGCGATATTAACGCTACGTTGCCCCTTCCAGTCTGCGTCACCCGAACGAGGGACGTTTTGATATCTTATTCTCAGCCTTGTCCGTCGAACAAGACATTAACGTGCCAGTAAGTGATTGAAACTGTTACCATCACTTCGTGTCTCTACGAAACTTCTTCACCACTCTTGCTGTCGTTAAATTGAAAAGACACATTATAAGGCATTCCATGTACCCCACTACGACCACCATTAGTTTTCACTGGCAGATGGAGTCTTCGCTGAGAGGTTGTCATAACTAATTGATCTCATGTTTCCGCGTCAACGCGAAAAGAATGTGACGAGCTACTTCGTATATTAAAATGGCTTCTCATAGCCGTTCCCTGGCGCACTTCATTGAAGGCCAACGCGCGTCCTATGGTAGAGGAAGCGATTATCGGGAGCCAGACGGCCACACACACAGAACGCATAAAAGAGAGAGTGAAAAACGACGAAACACTCCCACTTTCAGTTTATCGTTCTCAGCAGCCAGTAGGCTTCCCTCCGCAGCCGTCTTTGGATGCAAATCAACCCAAATACTCGAACTCGGCGGATTCGACTAGATTACCAAGCTGGCTATAGCTCTTTGGTCGCTCTAGTACCACCAACGCCTTTATTGTTCCGCTTACTGCCCTGTCCTATATTCAGGAGGGTAGATCTGCCCTGGCGACGGTCGTCACTGCGTCACACCATGCTGCTGGTTCTGCTTCTGAAAAGTTGCTCATCGGCTTTATAAAGCTGGCTGCTGTTATGGGCTTTGTGAACTCATTCTGAGCTCAGAACAGAACAGGGACTCTTGAAGAGGGTCGGTGTTTCATGGGCATAGGGAACGGACCGAGGCAGAGGTACAGAAAAGGAGAAGAACAACAGAGATCTTTTGCCTCTGCATTTTCTGCTTAAAGAGCGTTCCACCATTCCCGGCCAGCGCGACGCAGCGACGAGCGCATAGCACGCGAATGCGCGGCCAGCAGCAACGGTGTAAAAGGTGAAAACTATCGGTGGGGTCTGACTCCGAGGCAGGCCGAAACTCGAAGCTCAGCACCCTGGTGGTAGCACAAAGCTGTTCGTTCATTCGACTTTAACAAAGACACAATGTACCGCTAATAAATTAATAGCTTTTAGGGCGGAACACATATGTGAGGCGTACGGCAACTACTTGGGTACGCATACGGTTGGTCCACCGACAACGACAAGATCCGCACAGCCACAACTACCACTATTGCTGCTGCTAGCAATTTTCTGTCAAATATTTTCCCAACGAAGTGCGCCCTTCCTCTACCGCCTGGATAAAATTGCTTTTTTAGCTAAAGCGTATGTACTGCTGCATCCACCATGGGACCTTAAACGGTGAGATGTGGTATGCAGAGTATTTGTAGCTTCATGATTATTTTCTGTTGTCGGTTTCTAATTCTGTGTGCGTCTATAATCGGTGCAGATAGGCTGAGAATAAGACTCTGCCGCAGTGGAAATACACTTATTCAATAGTCAATATGGCTGTAATGGTGCCGTCATGGGGGGTGGACATTGTTTCGTGCGTAGGCGATGTTCAAAGGCCAGAGTTGGAGGTCGTGCATCGTCTGAGTGAGCTAGTTCAAGAGATGTTAGACGACTTAGCGTATCTTGTACGTTCTATGTAACATCCAACGGATAGGGTCAAACAGAAAGGCCTACTGTGTATTATTATTATTATTGCTAGAGAATGAGGATAACCTTGCGCAGAGACGCGGCGTGCTCCACGTGTTCACAGTCGGCTATCTACTGTTGTCTGCTGCTGATTCTTTTTCGAGGCATCGAAGAGCCAACCACACCCATGTTAATCTCTTCGTTCAGGCCTCTGCATATCTCGGAGCAATCTTCTGTTGTAATTCTATAGATGTCTCAGCATTGCCATTTTGGAGGGAACGACGCATGACCTTTTCACCGGTCTGGCCATTCATACTCGAAGAAACAACGCGAGTATCCTGAGCGGTCATATTATTGTGTTTTCAGCTGTGCATACATGCAAGAGAAGCGGCATTAGCATTCGCTGAATTTTTTTAGAGAAGTTTACTTAGTCGGAAACAATGGTCGTAGCTGCTTCTACACCTGGGCTCAAAACACACCCTTCTCGAGACGGCGTTTCGCCCTAAAAAGCCTAAAAATTTCCTACACTTTATCGTGCACAGGCTTGCCTGTCTCGTGCTAACAAAGCAAAATGGAAGGAACAGACAAAGAGAAGCTGTGTAAGCCGTGTATCTAGACGCTAGCTTTCAATTGTAGTTTTAAGACTAAATGTAGTTTACATTTTACAGTTGAAGCAAAGGACGCTTGTAGTTATCTCTATCTAATGTTACAATACACTAGTAGTATGTATAGTAGTATAGTAGGACGATATTAGCACGTTAGCTTGCACAGTCATGTATATATATTCTTGGTTGGTTCCGCATTTGAGAAAACAGGCATCGAAAGGACCACTTTTTGGCACTCGACATCTCACTACTTGTACCATGCAGTAAATGTAAAATACTGTAATATATATAACATTTCTATAAATGACAAACGCTTTCTAACGGCGCCTGATGACTTACATACTAAACAGTAAAGCAATAAACAAAAGTGGGCGTTACTTGTGCATGAATACGATATGTAATTCAGTGTATAGGGAATAATGATCTAAGTAGATAGAAGAAGTACTCGTTTTTGCATGTTTCAGTTCAGCTCCGGGCTTGATACAAACTTGCAGGCCGTATCATTCACATCGTTCAAGAAA